TCTGAGGCCCCTGATAGCATTCCTGTTCGTTTTGTCGATGCTCCGACTATCAGCCTCGACCGAACAGGCCATGAACGTGGTTCAGCCAAACTCCTGGATGACTCCCATTGTACAGTACCTCAAGGATGGACCTTGCCTCTAGCGACAAGGTCAAGGCAAGGATCCTGCGAGTAAGGTCTGCTCGTTTCACCACTCATCGGGATCAGCTGTACAGAGAGGATTCGTGCCCCTCTCCTCCGATGTGTAACCAGTGAAGAAACAGACTACATCATGAGAATTCATGAAGGGATCTTGGTAACCACAGCAGCTCGATCTCTCGCGCACAGATTGTTCGCCAGGGATATTATTGGCCCCAAATCCAAGAAGATGCCAACTTGTCAGTAGGTGCGACAAATGCCAGCGGTTCGTGAACATTCCGCGAGCACCATCTCAGCGCTGGTTACTATGTCAAGCCCCTGGCCATTTTCCATGTGGGGGATCGACCTTATCGGCCCATGCCAGTTGGGAAGAGGGGTCAAGTACGCCATAGTCGCGGTAGACTATTTTACAAAATGGGTCGAAGCCGGCCGCTAGCCGCGATCACGACCAGGAAGTTAAGAGACTTCGTCTTCAAGAACATAGTGTGCCGTTACGGATTCCTCACACCCTCATCTCAGATAATGGAAAGCAATTCGATAATGAGTATTCAAGCGTTCTGCGACGAGCTGGGCATCCATAAAAAATTTGCCTCAGTCGCCAGGCCACAGGCGAATGGCCAAGTGAAGCATCAATAAGACCATCAAGCACATCTGAAGGCCAAGCTCGGGGCAGCCAAGGGAAATTGGGCTGACGACCTCCCCGAAGTTTTATGGGCGTACAGGACAACTCCAAGGACCTCCACCTCGGAAACCCCATTTTCGCTGGCCTATGGCTGCGAAGCGATGATCCCTGTAGAGGTCGGGACCGGTTCTCTTCGGAGGGACCTGTACAACAGGACGACAACGAAGCACTTCTGAGAGCAAGTTTGGATCTAATTGAGAGCGTCGCAGCAAGGCTTCGCTAAGATAGCAGCCTACCAGCAGCGAGCAAAAGTTTCTTCAACTCAAAGGTCCGGCGAAGAGACTTCCAGGTCGGAGACCTGGTGCTAAAGGATATTCTCCTCGGGACCAGAGACCAAGTGCGGGAGTACTAGGCCTAACTGGGAAGGTCCGTACCGGATCATAAAGTGATCAGACCGAGGACCTACCATCTCAAAAGATTGAACGGCTCCAAGGTACCCCGAGCTTGGAACGCCGAGCACCTTCGCCCTACTATCAGTAATCCCAAACTCAGCTCGGTTTTTGATAATTTCTTTTTCAAGTATTACTCTGTTCGCTTAAAACTTTTCGAATGTGTTCAGTTCGCATGTAAAAATTTATATGTAATCGCTTATGTAATCACAATTGTAAATGTGCATTTATAAAAAAAGCAAACTTCAATTGTAAAGAAAAGTCATGTACAAAAATTCTGAGACTCGGTACAATGGGAACGACTCCCTAATACTAAGGCTGGTCGGGAAGATTCTCGAGCCGAGCCACCTGCCTGGTCAGGTCCTGGGCGGCCGCGGCAGCCTGGTCCTCCTCGCCATGAGCAGCAAGTCGCCTGCCGAGCTCCGGAGGTCGGAGAAGTCCAATCAGGGTTCCTTGCACGAAGGGTGTAGATGGATCCGATCGCCCAATCCCGGCCTTCTCCTCCATCTCCTCAGACTGATTCTGCATTTCTGCAGTCAGTGAAGCACTCTCTCCCGACTCTCCTGAAGCTCGGCCTCAAGGCTAACCTTTCTTGTTCGAAGGCCCCTTTGTCTTCTTCAGCTCGCTGAGCCCGTTCGAAGGTCGCCCTATTTTGTCCTTTTCGCCGACCTCCTTGGTGAGCCGGGCAGTTGTCCTTTGAAGCTCTTTGATCTCCTCCGCACGTCGGTCGAGCTCAGCCTTTTGGAAATCCACTGATCGCAAGGCGCATCCTTTTAGCAGACCTGTCCGCCGCTTCGAACGCTTGTGCTCTTTCAGCTTCGACGGACACCAAGCTCTGCTTAAGCTTCGCCCCTCCTCTTCCAGGTCGCTTGTCCCCTTCGCGTCCCCCAGCCGCGTCTTCCCATGGACATCCTCATCGCAAGCAATCCATGCGCAGTGTACGAGTTAGAAATAGGTCGGATTGAAATTTCAGTACGGCTAGTCTTACCTTGCTCAGATGTTGAAACGACGTAGCCAGCAGGTCGTCGCCCGTGTCCGCAAATCATCGTCCGACTCCGATAGCTCGCAATCGAGCAGCCATATACGATGGGCTGCAGGTACTCGGGTAGACTCCCCAACGAGTCTAGAACAGGTCTCCTTCGCCTTGCGCTTGCACCTGCCTCGCTCACGGGCTCTTGCCCGACCTCCGGGATCCCTGGCGCGACCTCAAACTCTCCCTCTGATTCAGTCTCTGACTCTCGTCGGCTGAATCTGCTTTCTCTTCTTTGACCTCTAGGCCGAGCCTTCCGCTGGGGGCGAGCAGTTTTGTGCCTGAGCGCCTGTTCCGTCCTGGTTGCCCCTTGCGCAGCAGGGCGGGCTGGGAAGCTGGGACTGTCGCACCGGCTGTGCCGGGACAGTACGAGCAGCATCAGCCTCTCTCTCGATCCTCGATCGAGGAAAGACAAACGGTGCTCGGCGGGACTGCCCGGACTCCTTTGGGGGCATCGTTTCTGCATTCAAGGTCGTTAGTAAACGAAATCATTCTACGACCAGAAGGGAACCAAGTGTATACCTTCCGGAGGTTCTAAGGACGCCTGGTCGCTGAAAAAACCGTACTTCCGCAAGTTCGCGGTGGTCCACAGCTTCCTTGCGCGCGACTATCCTCGTCCAGTACTCCGAAGGATACAAGCTTGTCCGGATCAGCGGTACGACTGCTCGGTCGTTCTATTAACTGCAAAACAAAACAGGTCGTTTCGTGGATCGGCGAGCGGATAATAAACTCAGCAAGAGAAAACCTACTTGATTTGAAAACGGCAATAGCCGTTGTAAAAGAAAAAGAAGAACTTCGTCTCGTAGGCTCCCGCATTGCGGGATAGCTGTGTATCCCCGCGGCAATGGTAGGTCCCGAGACAGTAGTACAGTCCTTGTCCCTACTCTTCTTAAGGTAGTAGGCGACACCGAGCTCCATCGCCGTCGGCTCTCCCAAGCCGCTCTCGCAGCACGCGATGTACATCGCGACAGCGATGACATACGCGTTTGGCGTCAGTTGCATCGGTGCGATCTCGAAATGATCCAGGACCGACCTGATGAAAGGATGGAAGGGAATCCTCCCTCCACCCTTGAAGATCTCTCAAGATCCGCGCAAGGCCATCAGCCGGGCGCCGTGACGACCTGGTGTGGTCGAGGAACACCCCGCGCGAATATCGTACTGCGTCTTATTCTTTACTCCTCGGAAGTGAGAACCGAGTAGACATCGAGGGCTACGTCCTCGGACTTCCCGCGAGACAAGCTGGCTCCTCTCGGGTCTGGATGTTGACGGTTCCATCCCAGTCTGCAACATCGATAGACACGGTCATTAGGGCCTTTTGTTTCGTCCCGAGTAATGGTATGGGAACTCTTAAATCTACAATGACTCGCCCGCCCCCACGCTCGAATCCGATGGCGGCGTCGCGTCTCCGGTGAAACGCCGGGAGCCCCAACGCCACTATTCAACCAAACCAGTGCAAAAAAAATAAAATAATAGGGAAAAGAAAACCCTTACTCTCTGAAATGCGAAGCTGAGGCCGAAACTCGTTTCGATTGCCTGAAGAACGCCGATCGGAAGAAAACTGTTCCTAGTGTGCAAAGGTTTTTCACTTGAAGCGAAAGAAATTTCGGTGACCTCATCAGAAAAATGCAAGTTTTTATATGAGGGTTGCGAACCGACGGTTACCACCCCTGAAACTGAAACGACAGCCCCCTCTCTCTCCCCCGCATTAAATGCGCCCACACGTCGCATTAAATGATGGATAATGGTCGTCGTTTCGGTTACGCTGCGCCACTAACCTGCCAAACGTTGCCACTCACCCGCGAGGCTTTAATGTGCCTGACAAGCTTTAACGCGCGCAGACCGCATGACAGCATGAAACCAGGTTCGTTGAATCTGTACAAGGAGTGCCCCTCAGATCTAGTTCGTAAGGTGGAGATTGTCAGGTCGCTCTGACGGGAACAGCGTGCGATCGTGTTCGCCAGAATCCTGTGCCGAGCTCATCCCATTCAGGTCGGAGCAACCAAAAGACTCCGACGTGACTTATTTTCCAAGGTCCGACCCTCGAACCTTAAAAACTAGGGGGCTTCTGTTATGCCCAGGAAAATGAAGGGCTGACTTGGGAAAGTCACTTGAAGGGTGACCTGCTCCCGTCAAGCAGCGCGAACCGTCAGACCTCCAAGTGTATGGAGCCCACACGCGTCCTTTTTTCTGCAACAAGTCGTGCGATGTCAGCTTGGGAAAAGGAAATGGGACGTAAAGCCGGATTATATCCTGACAATCACACCAACCATGGATTTAGTGATGATTATACGCTTTATTCTGATATAAAATGAAGAAGACCCCTTCATTAGGGAGATTCGGCCATTTTTCATACAACAAAAGAAACCTCTCCTCCTGTAATCACTTTTGACTTTTCGTCTTATGTAAGTCAGCTCGCAGCCGCGACCTGACACTCACTAATATCAATACAAATCAGTGGATTTAGGACTTGCTCCCTTAGCATCCGAACCACTTAAAAAACTCCCTTTACATTTATTTCGCTTTTATATTTTATTTTCGTGCATTTTGAACAATCAATCAGCGTTACATACGTGAGAGTTCGTTGGTGCTTAAACTGAGCATCAACAAAGTAATTTATTCTCATCTGGGTTGAATTAGTTTTTAAACCATCCACTGTTTAAGTACTCCCACTATCAAACGCCCTCAGATCGAAAGTACTCAATTAAAATAAAAAAATAAAAAATTGAATAAAACCTATCCGATAGAAGTTACTAGAAGAACCTAGTATTATTCAGGCCATTTACACTGACGAATTACAAAAACCCAAAACTCTGTATTCTCAGACACATAACAACAATCTCTCTGAAATCACAATGATGGACGCATCAAAATTGAAAGAATTCGAATTGTTCATCGATCAGTGCAAATCCAATCCTTCTCTTCTCGCTGATCCTTCCCTCTCCTTCTTCCGCGACTACCTCGAAAGGTTCAATTCAATCTATTTATTCGCTTTTTTTTTTTCTTAAATAATTTTAAAATCTATTGAATTCACTCTTTTCTCAAATGTCAAAACGATTCGTTTTAGTCTCGGAGCGAAGCTGCCTCCCGCTTCATACAACCAAGGCGACTCCAAATCGGTACTCTTTCTGTTTCTTTTACCTCACTATCATTTTTCTGCGCCAATAGCAGATGAATTGATACTTGCGTATTTATGTGTATGTATAGAAGAGCTATGTGGTGGAGGAGAGCGACGATGAAATGGAAGAGAATGAAGGAGCACAAAAGACTGTTGAAGAGGAAGAAGAGGACGAAATAATCGAATCTGATATTGAGCTTGAAGGAGAAAGAGTTGAGCCTGACGATGATGCTCCACAGAAGGTACTATTGTATTGTTTTAATTTATTGAATTTATGGAAAGTTGAAGTCAATTTTGTTGTTGATTATGTATATTCTGGTGAAAATGAATTCATATTTGAAGATGGGAGACCGTACGATTGAGGTTACTGAAGAGAGCCGTGAAGCTTCGCAGGAGGCCAAGGCCAAAGCCATGGAAGCCATCTCTGAAGGTACAATACTCAGATGTTACACACATAATGTTAAGAGTGTGCATGTTTGTGGAATTTCATGTTTTATTTGTATATTGTAGGAAAGCTCGAGGAGGCGATCGGGCATCTGACTGAGGCAATTTTGCTGAATCCAACATCAGCAATTATGTATGGGACTAGAGGTGAATTCTAAGTGTTCTTTTTCCTTTCTCATGTGATTTTACAAGTTTTATTTTTGTTAAGTTTTGTTAATTCGTAAGTTTGTGTCCTTGTGATGCTTGGCAGCTAGTGTATACATCAAAATGAAGAAGCCTAATGCTGCCATCAGGGATGCTAATGCAGCTTTAGAGGTCTATCTTGTTATCTTAATATGCTTTTGAATCATGATTTATGTATTGTTGTAGTTTATTTACTTGAACCTCTAAGCATGTGTATGTATATAAATAATAATTCTAGGAATACTGTAAAAATATTGTGCTTTTCAACTTCTTTCTTAGATTTATTTCGAGTGCGCATGTGCATAGTCATGTGGCATGACTATATGCAATAGTGGTGTAGTGGTGTCTTTAAATTAGATGCGTTATTCCGTTATGTTATGATTCTTCTGTTTGGCTGGATGTTATTAGTTTAATTCTCACATGCTTTGGCAACACTTTTCATTCTTATTAATGAATTGAGTTTAATCGTATTCTATATTTAGCTGCATGTTGTAAAGGGATATGCTTAAGAGAGGAATTTATATGAGCTACATAATGGTTGTTCCAGATTAACCCAGATTCTGCTAAGGGCTACAAGTCTCGTGGTATGGCAAGGGCATTGCTTGGTCAGTGGGAGGAGGCCGCAAAGGATCTTCACTTGGCATCAAAGTTAGATTATGATGAAGAAATAAGTGCTGTACTTAAGAAGGTTAGCTTTCCAACTTATCTGAAATTTGTTATGTCCAATGCTAAGTTTTCCATCTCTGTATCATATTCATATTTAATCTACATTTGTATATTATCATTTGTGCATTCATGAAAGAATTAACTTTCAAGCTGATAGGGAGAGTTGCTTAATATGCGTACTATGTGGTTAAGGAAATTTACAATTGCAAAAATCTTTTGGTGGTTTCATTGCTGTACGTTTTTACTTCTTTAGAAGGAAAATATATGAAAGTAGGTGTCCTTGTTTCAGAGTGACCTGGTGCCTAATATTCTTTGACTGCCGAAGGTTCTGGATATGTTTTTGAGTAGGCATTTCCGTGTACTTATTAGTTCTGATTAGATGAGATTTAGTCATCTCTGTTCATTTAAGGGAAATGACATGGGGAAAAAAAAAAGTTTTCAAAGTGGGGCATTCAAATTCCTGCAGTCTCTAATTTTAGATCTTGGTTTGTTTGATGTGTCAGAAATCCAACTAATGAATTTCTTTATTTTTTTTTTTTTTGGGTTTCTGTTTTAAATATTTTCTTTGTCTTGTTTGCAAATCAGTGGCATGTATTATTCATGAGTGGAGCAAAGAAAATATGTTATTCTCTTACCTTCTTTTCTGATGCCTGATTGTAGTTTATTTTTTACTGAACAATACAGCAACATGGGATACGCAAGGATAGTGAGTGGAGTTTTAGATGCTAACTTATCAGATGAATATAGTGTTTGATGCTATTAGATGTATAGATGAAGCCAGTGGTCTGATTTATGCTTTCTACTTACAAGAGGTGTTCTTTATAATGCTGAAATAAACTGTGGTGTAACTTGCTGCTCAATGCTCTCCAACTAACTTAGAGCTGATATAGGTGTAGGTTCCTTATAATGTGTCCGTCATTTTGTTGACAATATTGTCTAGGCTAAAAGTAATCAAAAAATGTAGTTAAGTTTTGCATAACTTTGGAACTGCTAAGATATCTCAGAGCAACTTCTGGGTTACACAGGTTGAACCTAACGCACACAGGATTGAAGAACACCGTAGGAAGTATGACAGGCTGCGGAAAGAGCGGGAGGAAAGAAAGATTGAGCGTGAAAGACGTCGTCGTCGTGCTGAAGCTCAGGTATTTACATACACGATATATATTCTTCTTCTGGCAATCTTATCTTCCTACAATTCTCTATTTTTTCTGATTTAATCATGTATTTATTGAAGGCTGCATATGAGAAGGCTAAGCAGCAAGAGCAGTCTTCTTCGAGTAGAAAACCTGGAGGCATGCCTGGAGGCTTTCCAGGTGGCACACCTGGAGGCTTTCCAGGAGGTATGCCTGGGGGCTTCCCAGGTAGCATGCCTGGAGGGGTGCCTGGAAATGTTGACTTCAGCAAGATATTGAATGTAAGTACGATGACTCATATCTCACCAATAGAACAGTTAGCTGTGCTTTCTAACTAATGAATGCTTTTTGTTGACATTTTATGCAGGACCCTGAATTGATGGCAGCATTTAGTGATCCAGAAATCATGGCTGCTCTTCAAGATGGTACCGATTCATTTTGATATACTTTGTGCTGCATTGATATGACTTTAAATTGGGGTAGTGTAGGGGGGAGGGGTTTAATTGTTTAAATTTCATTTTAAAATTATGTTTACTGTGATGGGTTATTAAACTAGAATGAAGGCCAAGTCTGGGTCTGCAAGTCATCTTTGATTAATGGCAGAACGTCCCCTCTCTCTCTCTCTCTCTCTCTCTCTCTCTCTCTCTCCCCCTCCCCCTCCCTCCCCGAGTCTTGCTTTTTTTTCCCTGGAGTGTAGACTATGCTACTCTTGAAGTATTCCCCTTCAGAATTTGAGTGCATCCATGATCATGTCTGATAGTGTTTTTTTTCCACTGTTTTATCTGTTAATGGTTTTGCAGTGATGAAGAATCCTGCTAACCTTGTGAAGCATCAAGCAAATCCTAAAGTGGCTCCTATAATAGCAAAGATGATGGGGAAATTTGCAGGACCAAACTAGATTGTTTTTGCAACTGACATCAAATTTGTTGATGGTTCTCCTGTTCATGTGTCATCTCCGAAATTTTTGTGAAGCTATTACACTCTGGACATGGTTATTGCAAATCACGGTATTGTCGTGCCATGTATTTGTCTGGAGGGTGAAGGCGAAAACATATTTCATATGAAAGCTTAAAAGTTTGACCCTTTTTTGTGTATTTGGGATCGGAATGTAAGAATTTTTGAAGTAAAAAACAGTATGGCAATAGGGCTGAGACATATGTTTGAATTTCATCCGAGTACTGGTTTGTCACTATTACCTGGTCAGTAATGATAATTTCTTGCTGGGTGGATCTACAGAATTCTCAAAGTAGGTTAGCTTTTCTGCTTTTGGATTGAAAAAGGAATGTGCTTTAATACAATTTGGAATTGCTGATCAGTTGCATTTCATATGAATATAAGACTTATCGTTGGTGTTCTAGGTTAGTTTCATGTATTTTTAGGGCATGTACCAGGATATTTAATACATCTTCGAAAATATATTTTTGAAGTTGGATAATGGTATCTATTGAAATGTTTTGGGGTTTAAAATTTTTATAAGGTGGAATCGTAATTAGTTTTTTATAAAATTATCTAAAATGACTTAAATAATTTTGGAAATCGGTTCGCATGGAGTATTCTTTAGTGGCAGGTAGGCGACTTTGTAGTGGAACAACGACAGAGTGTTGGCACTTGGCAGCGATAAGTTGAAACCAACGGGAAACTAAAAATAAAAAAGAAGAAAGAGTGTCGGCAACTATAAGGTGAAACCAATGGGAAACAAAATAGAAAAAAGAAAAAATATGATTGTTTTGACGATTTGGTGACATACGGCCTATTTGATAATGACCTTTCTAGTGTTATTTCTTCCTAACCATTATGGTAAGGTTATACTTGCTAGGGCTGAGTGGTCCGAGTACCCGACCCAAATCCTGGGAATTAGAATCATAATTGGAATTGATTGGTTCTTGGGAATTAGGAACTGGATTTGAAACTGATACCGATTCCTAAATCTTTAGAACCAGAATCAGAATGAGAATCTATGTTCTAGTTTTGGGTATCATTCTCAAAAATTATAAATACAACCCTATTGTTAACAAAAAATGACAAATATACCTTGCATTGTTCACAAAAAAATATAAATGCACCCCCAATTTCACAAAAAATACAAATGTACATTGTACATTTTATTCAAAACCGGTTTACTACAAGTTTGCCACACTTTCAATTGAATAGCAAGAATCCATCACCTTCCAACATCAAAAGTTGATTAAAGCAAAAAGAAATCAAAGATTTTGCAAAAATATGAGCCATGATCAACTAAACATCGCAAAAGAACCCTAAATTTGAAAACCCCCAATTTTAAAGTAAGAACCCTAAATTTGAAAAATACGTTAGTTGGAGAACTTGCACCACCAAGAGCCAACCTTTGTACACATACAATCGAATGGAAATGAGAACGGATCATAATGGCACGAAATTATGAGAGAAAGAGAACATAAGAGATGTGAGACTATTAAAGAGAGTCGAGAGAAAGACGAAGAATGGAAGAAAGCAAATGAAATTGAATTCCTAATTTATATGAAACGTAAGATTACAAAATAACCCCCAATTTTACAAAACTTACAGTTTGCCCTTAGTTTCCAATTCCGTTTCTGTTTCGTGAAGTGGTCAAAACTGAACGTCGGGTACTCGACGGTTTGGTTCCACCCTACATTTTTGCTCAGCACTAAGACTTGCCATCTACTCCTATAAGAGTTTGAATCTAGGGACGCCTTTTATAAGTAATGGCTAGGTTTTCGTGGTCACAAATCGTTTAGGTTGTATCATACCCAACCTAACTTCATTAAATAGAAGAATGGTGTTATTTAAACCCAACTAAATATCTTCGTAAGCCCCAACTCTATATATATATATATAATATATATATTATATAGATATATATATATATACTTATATATATATTATATAGAAGAGAGAGAGAGAGAGAGAGAGAGAGAGAGAGAGATGGTGCCAGAAGATATGGAGTTTATGCATGTGAGAAACTATGATAGCCGATTTACATGGAAGCCGATCAACACAAAGATCGATCGAATCTATGGTTAAGGCCCTCCTCTTATCCTACACACACTTACACCCACACACCTTCTAACATCATCTAAAAGGGCTAGTGGAAATAAAAGCACATTAGAAACACAAATAAAGATAATATATGAGATCTTTTGCTATTCTTGACATTATTAGAATATTACTACACCTTTGAGGTTGAAGGAATGTTTAAAAGTATGAAGAAAACATGAAAGAAATGTGCAAGAGAGAAATGTAAGAGATTTTACAAAAGAGAACAATGTAAGAGCAAGAGAAATATACAAGAGAAATTACACAATGTCTCATTCCTCCAACGGGAAGAAAACTCTCTTTATTTATAGAGAAATACAAGAGATCATATTTAATACACATTTAAGAGGCATTTAATACATGGCTTGACATATTTGACTTTTTGGATTTTTTTTTTATTAACCTTGCCTATAATATTTGACTCTTGTATCTTACACGAGAGATATTGCACTTAAGTTGGCAAACTACTATATAGTCCACGTCTATTTTATAGATAAACATGAAGGACATAAACATTTATTTTAAGACACATAGAGCTTTAATCATTTGACAAGTTTGTAAAGTGCCACGAGTCTTCATCTTGGAAATCGAGACAGCCCGTTGCTTGAATCCAATCAGTAGGAATTTTTTGAGAAGATGAATCTGGATGGATATCCAAAGAAATGTTTGGAGACTGAGATGGCTGCCTTGCAGAGTTACTTGGTGCATACATGTACTGTTGGCGCTTAGATTTATGAAGGTAGTAATCACGAGACTGCTGAAGCTCTTCTTCTTGCATAGTATTTGGCTGAGAATCTGGGTACCACCATTCTAGAGAGTCTGAAGTAGCATTTAATTGAGAAGTGATGGAACTTATGCATGTTTGTTTGGCCTAGAGTAATTTCTCAGTGTAGGCTGGAGGAAATCATTCCCACGAGGCATCATCGCGAAAAGATGGTCATATCTCATTTAGAATCGTCTGATTTTTCTCAAAAATAGTTTTCTGAATTGACCTAATCTCAAGAGGGTGGTCAAACATATTATGGACGAGATCGTATAGATAGGACTGATGAAATGTAACTTGATGCTGTGAAAAACATAGGCCATCAGATCTGATAGAGTGGTGTCTATGAAAAAACATGATGGACCATGCTATTTTAGTGGACATAGGACCTCTATATCGAGCAAGTTGATGAGCAAACACAAACTTCCATTTTTCCAGGGTTTTGAACCATTTAAGAAAAGTCATCAAAGAGTGTAAATCAGAGGTTGAGGATGATTGATACTAAGAAATCATTTTCAAAATATAATGGACCGAGAATTGAACTGCAATGTGGTACTAGTGTTAGGGGTGTTCAAAACAATGCAAAAACCAAACCGAACCAATAATCGACCCCAAAAACCAGTTAACCAAAAAAATGGTTCAGTTACGGTTCGAAAAGTTCAAAAAAGCGGATTTTCGGTTCGGAAAAAATTAAAAACCAGTTTTACAAATATAATATATATATATATATATATATTTAATAAAAATAAAAAAATAATTTCATTTCGGACTTATTTATATAAATTTTTAATGTATTGTTAGTAGTGGTCAATGGATATGTATGAATGTTTAATTTTTATTTGGATATATATTGTTTATATTTACAATTTAATTTAGGAAAAAATTTAACAAAATAAGTTTTATAAAAAATAAAAAAAAAGGGAAAACCGGTTCAAAACTGGTTAACCGCTTTTTTAAAATCGGTTTTCTCTCCAAACTGGTTTGGTTTCGGTTTGGGAATTTTCCCGAACCGAAAAATCGGTTCGGTTCAGAAAAGTTGTTAACCGGCTCGGTTAACCGCTTTTGAACACATAATAATTCTTTTGAAACTATGATATCTGGACCGAGAGGTAAATAGAAGATTTTTGAAAAAGGATAATATGGATGAACACCTAACATATCATACATGGATTGTCCACACTTTTCAATGCATTGGATTTGATAAGAAAACATGAGGGGGTGACATTTTCATCAATGGTATGAGTTCGAACAAGGTTATCGAATTCAGGAGGTGTGTCCAACATATGGTTTGGTGAAGAAGATGATGAACGAGAACTAGACTGGGTTAGTGGTTGATATATGAAACAAGGGAGTAGTTTTGACCTAGGGTTCATGAAACAAACTTGTTTAGCTTTAGGCTTAGATAAATAATCTACAAGGGTATTGATGTGACCTTTGATATGCTAGACGGTGAAAGAATACTTGTTAAACCATTCTGTTCATCAGAGTAATTGCTGATGTGGAACCTTTTTCTTGTTGAATCGGAGCATTTGGTCAAAAAATTTCATATCTGTTTCAACAAAGAAATGATGTCCAACCAGATGAAATTCAAACCTCTCAATAGCATTTTTTACTGTCAATACTTCTTTAAAAGTAGAATGATAATGTTGTTGATACGGTTAGAACTGTTCACTTTGGTATCCACACAAATGTTGTACTTTATTATCATCTTGTTCAAAAATCACTGCACCCAATGGGTGTTGCTAGCATGTGTCTAAAGGATTTGTTTCCCAAAAGAGGGAATCTTCAATGGCTGTGTAAGGAAGGCTTTGAGCATGAGACTCTTAACTGTATTGGTTTGCTTGTTAGACCACGAAGGAGGATTCTTCTTAAGCATCTGAGAAAGTGAAGAGGTAGGTTTAGAAATGTTGGGGATGAAACTACGCATGTAATTGGCAATTCCCAAGAATCGTTGTATTTCTTTCTGAGTCGTGAGAACATTTGGGAACCTCTGTACCTCATTAGTATGAGGCTGAAGGTCTACTTTCCATCAGCAATGACCATACCAAGAAAATTAATCTTTGTCTGACCCAGCTACATTTTCTTCTTAGAGAGCATAATATCATAAGAGTGTATGATATCAGCAAATTTGTGAAGAAGGTGAACATGAGATTCTTCATCTTTTGAGAAGAGCAGGATATCATTATTATAGATTAGATATATATGAAGAAGAGGAGCAAATATCTTTGTCATGGCTTTCTAAAACAAAGAAGGAGCTACCTTAAGACCAAAAGGCATGACTGTCCATTGGTAATGTTGGTTAGGAATGCAGTTTTATGACAATCATCAGGATGAATCCCAAGTTTCCAAAATCCAGCTTTGAGATCAAATTTGGAAAATATCTTTGCATTATGTAGATTGGCAAAGAGGATTTGTCTGGAAGGCAGAGGAAATTTGTCATCACGGAGAAAGAAATTTAAAGGCTGATAATTGATAACAAGTATGAATTTTCCTCTAGCTTGTTCAACAAGTTTATT